GTACACCTTGGCCAAGGATTTGATCATTGACTTAATTGAATGAAACGCAGATCATAATCTCCTACTATCTAAGAGTGACGAATCCTTTATTGATCAATCACAACCTTCATACGATTCTTGACGTACCCGAACGATGTCGTATTAGCGGCCCTTTTCAGAGCAACATCCAACACCGCCAAAGTATGACTGTCCTCATATAAGGTACCATGACGACCTCAAGTCAAAGGACCAATTTCACTACCGAACGTTAGAGATTAACCACCGACACTCAGATAGTTATCCATGTGGAATCTCTCGACGGGTCTCCAATGTTTTGTTCTATAACAAACATCCACGTGTTCATTTAAGTGTCACCACACTTTAACTTGTGAGATCGGCTACTTACTTCACAAGTAAGAAATGCCACACGTGATGGTCTATCCGTAATAACGATATCCGTATCTCGTTATTACTTACGACCACGGATGATTTAAGATTCAATCAGATGTAATTTGTATCTCACAATCACAACTCCTTGTGATTAATAAATTACAAATATTTGAATCTACGGACTCTATTATTTATTTAATTGTCAATTAATTAAATAATAGATCTGCCATTTAATTGCATTAATTATATATAAAAGTATTTATGTCCAAAGTCGATTGGACCTAGGGCATATACTTACAGGTTCTTAAAAGCAGCACCTAGCCTCGCCGTTTTTATTTTTTTCCTCTCCTAAGCTCGCTGTTTTAAATCTTTTTTATACTTTAATTACCAAAAATTATATAGATTGACTTAAAATTTTAAAAATAATATTAACATAAGAAAACGCCTTTTTACTCTTAGGCCGTGCCTAGGCTCGTCTAGCTCGAAGCTAGACCTCCATGTCTCGTCACGCTTTATGGTTTTAGAACACTAAGTTCAGGAGAACATATATTTTGGGGCAGGGTAGAGGGTGTTCATGAATGCATTTGATTGTGCATGCATAAGAAATAGAGCAAATTGCTCGATTACTTGATTTCAAACTTATCATCTGAAGAAATATTTATGCAGTCAAACTCAACTAATATATTTGATGAAAAAAAAAAAGTTGTGTTTCTTATGTCTACTTTGAACAGGGCTGCAATGGTTCAATTTTGCTGGATAATGTAGATGGTATACAGAGCGAAAAAGACGCTCGTCCCAACAGTAATTCAGCTGCTGGATTTGATGTCATTGATGACATAAAAACAGCATTGGAGAATGTTTGTCCTGGTGTCGTCTCATGTGCAGATATTTTAGCCCTCGCTTCTCAAATTTCAGTAACCATGGTATCACAAATTGCTTTAATTTTATCCACTACAACGTACCAAATATGTTCATAATTTTTTTTACATTGTCACAGGGAGGAGGTCCATCATGGGAAGTTCCTCTAGGCAGAAGGGACAGCAGAACAACAAACCAAGCTGGGGCCAATAGTGACCTTCCTGGCCCTTTCGAGAGCCTTGGTAACCTCACATCCAAGTTCAGAAATAAGGGTCTTGATTCCACTGATTTAGTTGCTTTATCAGGTAATGTACCATAGACTAAGGGAGCATATCATCGACTAAGATTTTATGTCATAATACTCGGTTATGTTAACTAATAATTGTTAATCTTCAGGTGCTCATACTTTTGGGAGAGCCAAATGCAGTTCTTTCAGCCGCCGGCTTTACAATTTCAGTGACACGTGGAACCCTGACCCGAACATGGACTCTGTTTATAGGGATAAATTACGTCAAACTTCTCCTCAAGGTGGAAACGCAAATACCTTAGCTAATCTTGATCCTTCAAGTCCCAATGGTTTTGATCACAAACCTCCAGAGCAACGGGGGACTTCTTCAGACGGATCAAGAATGTTCTCAACAAGTGGAGCTGATACTGTTGTTATTGTCAACCGATTTCGAAATTGCCAGTATGAATTTTTCAATGTTTTTGCTCAGTCCATGATTAAAATGGGAAATATAAGTCCACTGACAGGAAACAGTGGAAAAATCAGGGCCGATTGCAGACGCGTTAATTAGACGAGAAGTTTGAACATGTAATTTAGAAATCAAGTTCCATATGCAAATTTTCATTTAATAAAACTGCAGATTTTTATATTAAACTCTACGGTTTCACATTTAATATTTATTTGGACTGAATGTTTGTTATGATCTTAATGCTTTCAATTAATTGACCACTAATTGGATTATAGTACGATTCTTATTATCATTTTCGATAGAAGAAATATGGAAGATACCATGTAATTGTTAAAAACATGTTACAGCAAATTTAGAATATTCCAACTTATGTCTAGGATGTTAATTAGTTAGTGATTAGCCTGTTAATTAGCAAATTAGTCAGTTAATTACTCATTTTTTCTCTATAAATGGAGTCATTGTATTCATTAATAAATTATTGGATTGTGGAATTCCAATCCCTCCTTTCATGGAGGTTTCTTCTCCTCCAATTATGGAGTGCCTCTTTCTTCTGCTTTATGAAGTGTTTTCTCAATTAATAAATTCTAACGTGGTATCAGAGCAGAGTTCTTCCAGCTGCTGTGTTTTTCTGAGATTTTCATCCGCTCTTTTTGTGTTCTGCACAAATGAAAGCAAATCTCTAATTTCTTCTATTTTAGCATAATTATGGAAAGTGTTATTCCAGCAAAAGTTCAGTTCCCGTCTTAAAAAAATGGCGCCAGCAACATCAAAATTCGTCATTGATTCTCTGCAATAAAATTTCTCCTCTTTCAGATTTTGGTTCTCTGAACTTTCAAAGATCTTTATGGATGGTCAAAGCCTACGCTAAGTCTTGTTTCTCCATCAGATCTGGTGAAATATGAAGACCCGCTAGTTTGCTACCATTGAGAACATCATCCCTTTCTGCAATATGAACCTTACCAAGTTTGTCGTACAAAACAAGTCTCCTCAACTCTGAAAGCATTGTGCACTGGCACAAAATGGAATGGGAATGGAATGTCTGGTAATGTTTCGTGCTGATCTAATGGATGCTCATATGTATGGATTCAAGAGATTTGTTCTGCAAGGCTATTCATCATGGTTTTTCCCTCCAGTACTCTTTAATCTTCAAGATAAACTATTGTTGATATCTATAGTACATCTTTAGGGGGTGTGTTAAAAATATGTTACAGTAAATTTAGAATATTCCAGCTTATGTCTAGGATGTTAATTAGTTAGTGATTAGCCTGTTAATTAGCAAATTAGTCAGTTAATTACTCATCCTTTTTCTCTATAAATAGAGTCATTGTATTCATTAATAAATTATTGGATTGTGGAATTCCAATCCCTCCTTTCATGGAGGTTTCTTCTCCTCCAATCATGGAGTGCCTCTTTCTTCTGCTTTATGGAGTGTTTTCTCAATTAATAAATTCTAACAGAAATAGTAATCATTGTGAGGTCCTTTAAACGTTAAGAATAATTCTCTATACTTTGCCTTATCCAAATAGATGTTCTTGTGATTCAATATATCTTCATATGTTCGCATCGTGATAGGGATATTATTGAGTCATATGTAAGGATTTAACTAATTCTACTCGGAAGATATTATTAGATAAATTAGGAACATTGATATTCATATCCAAATGAATCTTGTATAGGGGAATAGTAAGTCCTAGTGTGTGATCATTAATCGAGTTTTGAAAACGCATCCTACCATTTAGGTAGATTAGTTAGTCAATTTAAGTTGTTAATACAAATCCATATCATCTATCTATTGTGTGTTTATATTCGATTTGATTTAGGCTTAGTTATTTTTTGTGGGATCAATACGTCAACTCACATCCAATTTATTACTTGTTTATGATCCATACACCCAGGGAATATAAAAATCGACAAAATATGCCACCCAATATTATAAAATTAGTAAATCCAGACTTAATTTTCACAAATTGCAGTGCCTAATTTATTAGGAGCCCTTATTTCCATTCATCATTCTTATATATCTATCTACTTTAAAAAAATTATATTAAAATTTTAATTAGATGTAAATTTACTTAAATAGACATGAATAAAATCAAATAAAATTTAAACTCTAAATTCATTTACTAAGGGTGCGTTTGATTGCGAGTATAAAAGTTGATTGAAAAGAAAATAAATTTTAGGCAATTCAATTGTGGAGAAATCAGGGCTAATTGTAGACGCGTTAATTAGATGAGAATTTGTTATAGATTTTTCTTTCTGTAGATTAGAAGGAGAAGTTTGAAACCGTGATTTAGAAATCAAGTTCCATATGCATTTAAAATAGCAAAATTTCATTCAATAAACTGCACATTTTTATATTAAATTCTATGTTTTAACATTTAATAGCTTAATATTTTTCAATTAATTGACCACTAATTGGATTGTAGTGTGATTCTTATTATCATTTTCGAAAGAAGAAATATGGAAGATAGCATGTAATAGCAATCATTATGAGGTCCTATAAACGTTAAGAATAATTGTCTGTACTTTGCTTGATCCAAATAAATGTTTCTGTAATTCGATATATCTTCATATGTTCGCATTGTGACAGATATATTATTAAGTCATATGTGAGGATTTAGCTAAATCTCCTTGGAAGATATTATTAGATAAATTAGGAACATTGATATTCATATTCAAATGAATCTTGTACAGGGGAATATTGAGTCCAAGTGTTTATTCATTAATCAAGTTTCGGAAACGCATCCTACCATTTAGGTAGATTAGTTAATTAATTTAGGTTGTTAATATAAATCCATCTCATCTATCTGTTGTGTGTTTATGTTCGGTTTGAGGTAGGCATAGTTATTTTTCGTGGGATCAATACTTCGGCTCATGTCCAGTTTATTACTTGTTTACAATCCATACACTCGGGAAATATGGAAATCGATGACAGAATATGCCACTCCAATAGTATAAAATTAGTAAATCTCGGTTTAATTTTCACTAACTGCAGTGACTAACTTATTGGGAGCCGCTATTTCCATCCACCATTCTTACATATCTATCCACTTTTTAAAAAAAAATTGTATTAAATTTTTAATCAAATTTAAATTTTCTTAAATAGACATGAATAAAATCAAACAAAATTTGTACTCTAAATTCATTCACTAAAGGTGTGTTTGATTGCAAGCATGAAATTTGCATGAAAAGAAAATAAATTCGAAGCAATTCAATTGTTTAGAACTTATTTGTATGAAAATTATTAATTAAATGTGTTTGATTTATTTAGTTTTCAATCTTGAAAATATTATATTTGTCTACTTTTTATTGGTTCATAGATGAGATAGGGGGATAGATAAGAGAGAAAAAAAGAGAGTGAATTACTTGAAAAATTAAAATCACCCCTTTCTAAAAAAATTGTTTTTATTATTTTTGAGGAAAATATGATCATTGACCAAAAATTGGAAAAAATTGTTAATCAAACACCCCAAAAGTAGAAATTTCGGCGGAAAAATAACATTTTCAATAAAAAAATAAAGTTAATTGAACACTCTCTAATATTTATAGATTGACACCATTTTATTTAGAGGAAATTGCAAAAAAGTCTACTTTTCAATGATCATTTGCAAAAATGTCCTAAATTTGTCTCGTGTCCATTTTGACAAAATTTACACCAAAATGCCTTTAGTAACAAATTGACATTCTACAAGAAAGATAAAATTTTTTATATAACTAAAAATTATGTTGGCAAATAGAATTTTGACACATAACCTTATACTACACATTTGAAAAGGTACTAATGTCAATTCATTCATTAAATGTAAATTGAACTCATTAATTATTTTTAAGTTGGGCTTATTGGTTACATTAACTTTGTACCTATTTAAAAAAATTTCATTTCTTCTCTTTTTAGTTAGGCTTATTGGTTACATTAACTATGTACCCATTTGCTAGAATTACATATCATCTCTTTCCAATCGTCATTGAGCACTTTGTCTCTCTTCTAATCCTAAATCTGAATCTTAGGTCGCCGATTAACCAAACGAGCTCGCCAACAACCAAAATCGTCGTCCTCGATCTAAAATCCTTATTTTTTGTCACATTTTGTTTGTTACGGTAAGAATTCTACTTGAATTGCCTTTTTATATCTTCTCTCTCGATCAGATTCTCAATTTTTTCTTTTCTTATTTTTTTAATTATTTTTTGTTGATACTGTTTATTTTAAGCATTGAGGCTCCAATCTTCGGTTGTCACTATTGAACCAAATGAGCTTTTCAACTGTAAAAGTCTCCATCGTCGATTGTCAATCTTTAGTTTTTGGTTGCATTTTGCTTGATACAATAAAAATTCTGTTGAGCAGCCTCTTTATCTCTTATGTGTCTGTTATAATTGCACTCTTATTGAAGCATTTGTAGTCATCCTTTCACTATTGGCAAATCCATTTGACTGTTCGTTGAGGAGATTGTTAGCATTTACAACTTTGTTGACCTTTTTTTTTTTTGTTGCAAGTGAAAACCAAGCATTTCAAGTAACTGTTGTAAGGTTAATTATTGTTGGCTGATTATAGTGAAACCCTTTGAAGGGATTCAGTTGTTGGAGTATTTATTGATTTTTCCTAAAATTTGTTTGGATTTGGAGTTAAAAGGTGACAAATGAATGATCTCTTTTGAAAATCATTTTTTGCTTTATCTTTTGTGTAGATTTGAGTTCTCCATTACATTTTCTTAGTTGAATGGAACTTGAATTTACTATTTGTCATGTACCTGTAGAATGAAGGTTGTTTGATTAACTTTTGACTATACTACTCTCATAATCATTGGAAATAATATTATCTCAGTAGACCATATGACCTATGAGATATGGGTAATTCTTCTTGTACAGCATTGTACAAGCTTACAGTCCCCTCATGTGAGGGGGTTGTACCTCTTATTGTACACAACTGCAGCTCATGATATATTGGTTTGGTAGAAATTTAAGAAACTGTAAGATCAAAATTTTCATTAACTACATCAGGTGGCATTCATCGATGTAATTCTTTGCTTCCTATCTCATAGAGCGGTTCTTATTTTTTCATTGCTTCTTCACTGCCAAACTATCACCCCAATTATCAAATATAAAGT